ATAGCATATTTTTTATAAGTTAGAAAATAAGTTAGAAAATATAAGTTATATTTTTTAATAAGTTAGAAAACAAAAAGTATTTGTAAGAAGTGTGGTGCTATTACATATTGAGATGTCTTTTTAATGTCTAGCTTAATAGAAGATAGTTAAATACCCTTAGCTGCTTCTGCCTTCAACCTGTTGCACTATGTTGATTTGATTGAAGTAGCTGAAGATAATCCAGTCACACAGATAAGGAGTTGCAAAAGAGTGGAATATTTTAATAGCTTTTTTCAGATAATTGTGGACATTATTCTTTGATGACAACAAACTCAACAAGTTAAAAAAGTTAGTAACTATGTGGAATCTGAAACCTTTTTGTTATTATGCAAATAATTTTGACCTAATGTGCTCACTAAAAGAATCTTCTGGAACCCCATAATTCTGTAAGCAATATTTTGAAAATTGCTACTCTAGAATAGTTTACTAGAAAGTGCAGCCTGCCTGTGCACTGTGTTTCCATTAGTTGCATTGTAAATTTACTCAGAGTCAGTTGTGTTTACTACTAAACCTATTCATCCCAGTTCCAATTGTTATTTTAATTAGTAATTTAATGAATTGTTATGAAATGTGAGTTAAAAAAAGCTAATATGTCTTTAAAAAATAAGTTTAAATCTTTAGAGAGAATTGAGAAAGGGATTCCAAAACTCGTACTGCTAAAACAGGTGTGGATAACACAATTATACAAGATTTGTTGTTATGTGCCATTGCATCGGACCCGACTCATAGTGACTCCTCCTTGGGTTTCCAAGGCAGTATCACTATGGAAGTAGATTGCCCAACTTTCCTTCCGAGGAGTGACTGGTTTGAACCGCCAGCCTTCTGGTTAGCAGCCAAGTGCCTTAGGCATTATGCTATCAGAGCTCCCTATACAAGATTAGAACAATAATTGTAAAAATCTGAATGATTCCCCACTCAGCTTGTCCTTAAATCTAAGTTTTTGCTTCCACATTAAAGAAGGTAAAACTGGATATTAGAGGTAATTACTTATAACCAAAACACCAAACCCACTGCTACCAAGTTGGTTCCAACTCATAGTGACACTATAAGACAGAGTAGAACTGCCCCACAGGATTTCCAAGGCTATAAATCTTTATGGAAGCAGATTGCCTTATTTTTCTCCTGCAGAGCAGCTGGTGGGTTCGAACCACTGATATTTTGGTTAGCATCCCAATATTTTAACCACAGCACCACCAGAGCTCCTTTAGTTAGTTTTCAGTGTAGTTATTCCAGAAAGGAATAATCATCCACCGGACCCTTCACCCACTATTGAAGGTTCTATTCTAACATCAAAACATTGACTATTGGCTATTTATTTTTAGTTTAACTAAGAAAGTAGTTTAAGATATTTATTTGTCTGATTTATAATTCCCATATTTAATTTACTTTTTAATTAACTTATCTATTAAGTGCCTAACTTAATAGACTGCTAACCAGAAGGCTGATGGTTCAAACCCACCAGCCACTCATCAGAAGAAAAGTTGGGTAATTTAATTCTGTAGTAATACAGCCTAGGAAACCCAAGGAGGGGTCGCTATGAGTCGGATCTGACTCGACAGCAATAAGTTTGGTTTGGTATTACTTTTCCTGATTTCATCACATAAAAGTTAAAGAATCTGAGACTATTAATTAAAATGATCTCTACATGAGCAATTGTAGGCTAATGAGAAAGAACTGAACTAAAGTCAAATTAAGGCCCAAGCTTTATTTGAGAGCACAGTATAATAATCATCATATCAAGATTGTAATTGAAAAGCTTTAAAATATCTCTGCTTACAAAAAATTAAGGTGACCATTGGAGGATTAGATGTTTATATTCCCAAAGCCCCTAAATGCAAATACTAGAATGAGAAGCTCAAGGAGGACTCAATTAATCCCAACAAAAAAAGGAAAAACTTTAAAAATGAACAAATATGGTTAATGTAAACCAAAAATAACAGAAGCTATCATTATGAGAGGAATAATTAAAATAATCTCATTAAAGCCAAAAACTCAGAAAATTAGCTTTAAAAATTTTTGGAGATGCAGCTGAAACAAGAAAATTCTTTTTTACAACAGGACAATATAGTGTTTACTTATTAAATTCAGCAGATAAACTGATAAACTCATGGTAGTTATTTTGGAAAAAAGGATAGGAGAGAATTTTTATCAGTTTTATTTTGTATGATTTAGCACAGTTTAATGTTCTCTATGAGAATATATTTTTACAATGACTTAAAAAAAAAAAAAAAAGAAAGAAAATGTAGGAGAAAAAGGGATCTTCTAAGTCTGATAGTTAACCAATACCTACCACACACACACATACACAAGCACACATACACATAGGTTGAGGTAATGATAATCAAACTACCAGGACCTAGTTTAAATTCCACCCCTACCCCAGGTAGGAGAGGTCATTCAGATTGTCAGTTTATAGAGAAGATTCCTCTGGGTCAGTAACTCACAGTGATTATGGGGTAATTTCCAGTGAAAATTTCTATTGAATTTTCATCAAAGAGTCAAGAATAAGTAAAGGGTCATATTACCAGATTTAGCAAATATAAATATAGATTCACTCACCCACGGACATTGAGTGAGTTCCAATGCATAGCAACTTCCATTGGATTTCCAAGGCTGTAAATCTTTATGGAAACAGACTACCTCATCTTCCTTCCATGGAGTGGCTAGTAGGTTTGAACAACCAACCTTTGGGTTAACAGGCAAATGCCTTAACCACTTCACCACCAGAGCTCCTTATAAATAAATACAGAACCTCCTGTTAAGTTTGTATTTCAAATAAACTACGAGTAATTTTTCTAGAATAAGTATACTCAAGTATGTCATGGGATGTACTTATACTAAAAATTTATTTGTGGCTTATCAGAAATTCAGTTTAACTGTACATCTTGTGTTTTATGAAGGAGCTCAGGTGGTATAGTGCCTAAGGTATTTGACTACTAACTGGAAGGTTGGAGTTCAAACCCACCAGCAGCTCCACAGGAGGAAGATGGGGCAATCTACTTCCATAAATATTTACCATCTCAGAAACCCAATGAGGATTGTTATGAGTCAGTATCAACTGGATGGCAATGAGTTTGCCTTTTGTTTTTTTTGTGTGTGTTTTATGTGGCAATCTTAGTGAGAGATAACTATACAGGGAAGTGAAATGAAGAAAGCTAGTCCAAGAAAGCAGAAGGTAGGCATATTTCATTGGACTGGAGGAAAGGGCCTTGGCTTCAACACACTGAGGGAAAGGAATCTTTAAGAGCAAGGTGAGTCACTGTCCTTAATTTGGTTCCTAGGTTATCATGAGGAAGACAGAACTCAAAGAAAAAGCCCGGTTATAAAAAGTAGAGTTGGTGTGTGGGGTGGCAAAGAGAGAGAAACTGGATGCATTCAAAAGATTATAAGAATGGCCCATAGAGTAGAACTTTGGGAAGGAGGAAGGCACAAATCAATGGCTCGAGAAAAAGCTCATAGAACATATTGGCTATTCCTGTGTTCAAAGCAGCAGTAGAAACACCCCAGGGATCAATATAAAAACCCTATGGATAACATTGGGACAGGAATCTAATTAGACCAATAGGAGTGATAGGAGTGGAGGTGGAACACATGGTGAGAATATGGATATTCATCATTTTGGTGAATTAATAGCACTGATTTTTTTTTTTTTTTTTAATTAAAAGATAACTTTTCCAATTAAAAATATTTACAGAGAGTTAAGTTATATTCACAAACTAATGTGCCATATTTCTGATGGAAATAATTGGTACCATACATTTAGTGAATTTTCAAGATAAATAGAAACAACTTAGGCCCTCAAATATAAGATTTTTTTTTAAATCTTAAAGTTCTTCATATATTTAATCAAGATCCTTAAACAACATGCATTAACATTATTTTCCTTGACTTAATGACTCAAAGACATCTGGGATATAAAAATTTAAAGCAGTTAAGGAGACTGTATAGTAAAAGGTCTTCATTTCACAGAGGAAGAATCAGATTCTGTTTAAAATAGTATGTTTCGAAACAGTAATTCATTATGCTCAGCGTTTAATTTGTGCTTAATATTTACATAAAGAGGGAGAGAAAGAAGAAAGGGAGAAAGGAAATATATAATTGTGCCATTAGAAATTTCTAAAATATGTGGGAATATTTTTTGTATTTATTCTTCTTGTCAGCGCTTTGTTGTGTAAGCATCTACATCCCAACTCTAAAGATGGAAATACTAAGTTAATGTTGGTTTAATAGATGTATATTCTATTACAGTCAGAGCTAGTAAATCTGTCTCCAAATTTCATGCCATTTCTTCTTCCTTAATAGTCCCCATATAGAATTTGTGGCATCAGTTAGACATTCTAGGTTTGAGAATGCAGGGTAAATCTAAAGTATTCCTTTATCAAAACTTTTATGACCATTTTAAGGGCTTCTAACTGTGGTGTATTAAATTACCTTGTAAGGCTTTTCTAGCCATAAATCTTTGTAAACTCTGTGGTATCCCTAATAAAGTCCATAATCTGTGAGTTTTATGTGACCACTGCAGTGAATTATCAAATTTCACAGAGAGGTGGTTGGTGCTGCGGGAGGAATGGTTGGTGTCAGGGTTGGTGAAAGGGCTGGAGGGAAGCAGCATGTCTGGCCTCACAGGAATAGGCCTTGGGCTACTAATGGTGATTCTGTCTTCTTCTTGTGGGGTTAAAGGAGGTCAGAAGATGCAGCCTCCCTGCCCCTTTGGGCACTAACTTATTATATATGCATTTGAAATATAGTTGCAATATATTGTCATTTTAGAAATGAATAGGATGAAGAGTTCTAATATATAAAAATTTATATTTATATATACATACATGCACACACACCTCTCATGGTTAAATTTTTTAGACTAAATTCCAAAAATAAAAGGAAATTAAGTCAAGAGAGGAAAGCACACACTTGGGAGTGTTATAGGAGGAAATGATTGTGCTCATTTTTTTCCTCTTCAGTGATTACTATTTGGGGAACCACAAAATATTTCAGAAAAACAAAAGTGTTATTCAACTTCATCTGCAAAAAAACAGAGGATCTCCAGGAAAGTTATCTAGAAAGGTAAGACTTTACTAGAATTAATTACAATTAGAAAACTGATAATTTTAAGAATAATGCATATCTTTATGGACTTTTGCCAATATGGAATGATATATAATAATACATGTTCATTTGAGGATACTTTATTTAAACATAATGAAATATTTATCTGATGCCTGTTAACAATTTGAACTGAAGCAATTACATGAACATATTACTCTAACCTCAGAAGAATAATAAGTAAATTGGTCTCTTTGAAACAGAGTATGTGAGAAACTTACTATGGTCTTCATATATATACTATCATGTTTCAAATTGTAACTGAATGAAATAGAAATTGTTAAGAGGAAATCATTGAAGGGAGAAAAATAATACAATTCTTATTCTATTTGAAAATTTATGTGTGTGTGTGTGTGTGTATCAACACAGTTTGAATCAGGACAGATTAATATTCATAATACATACATTAAAATGACATAGGAAGGAATAACTGTGATTTAATGACATTGTTTCATGCTGATAGACACAAATTTCATTCCCTGTGTGATGTCTTGAGCTACTTCCAACCCAAATTGCACAGTATGAAGTGAACTTTGATATTTTGGCAGTTTTTATCTCTAGACTCTTCCAATTACTTGCTTTAAGCAAAAAATTCCATCATGCTGTCATTTATATCAGATAACAGATTTCCAGTGCATGTTTCTTATTTTTTTCTAATCTGAGGTGTTTCATCTTAAAAACAAAAAATGTCAGGTGGTGAATTAGGTAATAGTGTATCTATTTGGAATATAACATAATGAGGCCAAAAGAGAGTTGTTTAGAAATATGTTTTGGATATAGTACCCAACTCAGCTGTTGTTGACAGCTCCAGGGCTATGCACTTGAATTTTCCACAAAGAAACATTTTAAAGTACATCCAGTACCCTCAATTAATAAACCTAAGGCATTTGACTGCTAACAGAAGGCTGGCGGTTCAAACTTACCAGCCACTCCACCGAAGGAGGACTAGGCAATCCTCTTCAGTAGAGATACCACCCCGGAAACCCAAGGAGGCATTGCAATGAGTCAGAACCGACTCGAGTGCAGGGAGTTTGGTTTATTTTGGTTTTAAAATTCTCATTGCCTACAATGTGGAAGAATAAGCTAAAATCATCATATTTCATTGCAAATAAGAGAAGGAGAGAAAATGTGTAATTCTTATTTCTAATCTGGTTTAGAAATTGCAGGCTGCTAAAAACAATAGCATATGTCATTGGTAGTAGTTCACAAATCATTATTAACATTTCAGTCTCATGTAAATTAAGGTTTATTTTAAAGTCCTCATTGCTCTATTATTCTAAGATAATATGTATGGAACATGTATTTTTTATGCCTGAGACTTTAACATTGCTATCATATTTAATCTTCACAGTAATTCTGAGCCAAATAATATTGGGAAAAATAAAAAATAAATAACTGAGTCACTGGGAGGTTCTATCAACTTGCGCAGGACCATGATCACATAAGCAAAGTAGAAGAGCTTGGCATTGAGCTCATAGCCCATCCTTTATGCTACCAAATTATAAAACAACATAGAGACAAAATTTAGGATTTATGGGCTACTCTCTAAGAATTTGTGAGTTTCATGACAAATGGTTAAAATTTTATGTATGTGTGTGTGTTCATTTCTTTGTTTACCTTGTTTTCCACAGCTATATCCAGATAGGGGAGGATATTGCTGTTGAGTCAATTCCAACTCATATAGACCTTATATGATGGAATAGAACTTCCCCATATGGTTTCCAAGGCTGTAATCTTTATGGAAGTAGACTGTCAGGTCTTTCTCGTACAGAGAGACTGTGGATAGCAGTCATGCACTTTAATCACTGTGCTACCAGAGCTCCAATATCCACATACCCAGACCAAAGTCTCACCTCTTGTCTGTCAGTTTGTTATACTATCATGGCTTGCATGTTGCTTTGAGTCAGGAAGCTACACCACTGGTATTTCAAATACCAGCAGGGTCACCCATGGAAGACAGTTTTCAGCATAGCTTCCAGACTAAGACAGACTGGGAAAAAAGACAGGGCCATCCACCTAAAAAAAAAAAAAAAAAAACTGGCCAGTGTACACTTTATGAGTAACAGTGGAACACTGATATATTACTGGAAAACTTTATGAATATCCATGAAACATTGTTTGATAAAATGTCAGAAGAGCCCCTCTGGTTGTAAAACACTCAAAAACTCAAAATACAACTGGGAAAGAGCTGCCTTCTCAAAGTAGAGTTGACCTTAATGATGTGGATAGAGTAAAGCTTTTGGGACTTTTATTTCCTGATGGGGCACAACTCAAAATTTTGAATCAGAGAGTAATATGGTCTACTATGCCGGGAATGAAAAATGAAAAGGAAAGGCATTGCATTCATCCTCAAAAAGAATATTTCAACATTTATCCTGAAGTACAGTGCTGTAAGTGGTAGGATAATATCCATATGCCTACAAGGAAGACTGGGAGCTCTGGTAGCATAGTGCCTAGGGCACTTGACTGCTAACCAGAAGGCTAACGGTTCAAACCCACTAGCCACTCCTCGGAAGGAAGATGGGGCAGTCCACTTCCATAGTGATACTGCCTCAGAAACCCAAGGAGGGGTCACTATGAGTGGGTCCAACTCGATAGCACATAACAACAACAACAAGGAAGACCAGCTAATACTACTATTATTCACCACTAAAGCCAAAGATAAAGAAATTGAAGATTTTACTAACTTCGGCGGTCTGAAATTGACCAAACATGCAATCAAGATGTATTTATTATTACTGGTGATTGGAATGCAAAGTTAGAACAAAGAAGGATCATCAGTAGTTGGAAAATACGGCCTTGGTGATAGACATGATGCTGGAGATAGTGTGATAGGATTTTGGCAAACCAACAACTTATTCATTACAAATACCTTTTTTCAACAATGTGAACAGCAGCTATACATGTGGACCTCACCAGATGGAATACACAGGAATCAGATCAACTACATCTGGGGAAAGAGGTAATGGAGAAGCTCAATATCATCAGTCAAAACAAGGCCAGGAGCTGACTGTGGAACAGACAATCAATTGGTCATATGCAAGTTCAAGTTGGCTAAAGAAAATTAAAACAAGTCCATGGAAGCCAAAATATGACATTGATTATATCCCACCTGAATTTAGAGACCACCTGAAAAATAGATTTTTTTTTTTTTTACTTCTTTTTTTCACCTCTCCTTCCTGTGACTATCCTTCCCTGTGCCCTTCTTATCCATACGTTCCTGTCTGTCTGGCTTTCCCTCTATGTGAATGCTGCCCCTCTTATGTCTCATGGCTGATTGATCTAAAGGGTGCATCTCCCTAGGTTAGCTGGGTACATCTCCCTGGATTAGGTGTTCTGCTTGTAGGTCTTGCTGCTGTTGGGCCAAGAGCCAATCCACAGAAGTGAGTCCAGGCTTGAAGGATAACCCAGGGCCATAATTTCAGGGGTTTCACCAGTCTCTATTCTACTGCTAATTCTGGTCATTTTTGTGTTTTTGATTTTGTTCCACATTTTTCCTCCCACTCTATCCAAGATCTCCAATTTTGATCCCTTTCTGAGTGACTGGCATTGTTATCTGGGTACCATCTAGTTCTGGTCTCAGGGTCGTAAAGGCTGAGGTCCTTGTGGTCTATCATATCTCTGGACTAATTGTTTCCAAATGAGTTTTATTTTCTTCACTCTTCTTTGGTCCAGACAGGAGGAGACCAGTAGTTGTATCTTAGATGGCTGTTCAAGTGCTTTTAAGACCCCAATTGCTACTCACCAAAGTAGGATGTAGAACAAAATTTTTCTGTACGATGTTGTGCCAATTGAACACGATGTCCTCCAAGAATGGTCCTGAGCCCAAAAGCCCAGTGATTCTCTCCCTCAAGGTGTTTAGTTCTCTCTGAGAAGCTACTCCAACCTGTTGCTTCTATATGTATGTAGATAATTTTGTAGCACAAGTACATATGTAAGACTATCTTCAGCCAAATCTATCCTTGGTCTTGGGTATATTCCTGTTTGCCTACACCCATCTGATCTTCTCCCCTGTCTGTGCATTTTCCCATATCCTAGTGTTTGCTGTCACTGGTAATGAAGTATTGTGCATGTAATAATATTTGCTTCTCTTGTCTATATCTTTTTTGCATGTTTCTATGTCCTCCATTTCCCCATTGTCACCATGCTGGTCACACACTCTTTCCATACTACCCCTTCCCTCACCCAAATCAACATGTGACCCCAACTAGTCAGAAATTTTCCCTCCCCATCCTTCACATTCCTAATAACCAACAAAATGAATTTTCTTCTTTGAGTAAACCTTTCATTGACTTTTTATGATAGTGGACTCATGCAATATTTGTCCTATAATTGACTTATTTCACTCAGCATAATGTCCTTTAAATTCATCCTTGTTGTAAGGTGATTTGTGGATTCTTCATTATTCTTTAATGTTGCATAGTATTCCATAGTTTGGTTATCCATTCGTCTATGGGCAGTTAGGTTGTTTCTACTTCTTTGCTATAGTGAATTGTGCTGCAATGAACATGGGTGTGCATATTTGTGTCTTGCTTCTCACCTCTTTAGAATATATTCCTAGTAATGGAATTGCTGGATCAAATTATATTTCTATTTTCAATTTTTTAAGGAAACACCATACTGTTTTCCGCAGTGGCTGCACCATTTTACAGTCTTACCAGAAGTGTATGAGAGCTCCCATCTTTCTACACCCTTGCCAACATTTACTATTTTCTGTCTTGTTGAACTTTCCTATTATTGCTGCGGTGAGATGATATCTCATTGTTGTTTTGATTTGTTTCTTTCTAATGACTAATGATCATGAGTATTCACTCATATGCTCATTGGCCGCCTGTATATCTTCTTTAGTGAAGTGTCTGTTCATGTCCTTGGCCCATTTTATTAATTGGATTGTTTGTCTTTTTGGTGTTGAGGTGTTGAAGTTTTCTATAAATTGTAGAGATAAGTCCCTTGTCAGATAT